AATGCTGTTAAAACTGTACATGTAGGAGTTTGACAAAAAGCCGGCTTTGCGTTTTAGTCGGGACAGAAAGCATTCTGGAAACGAAGCTTTTCGAACACATCGAGAATACGATAATCATGACCATATTTCCCTGCCTGAGTTTTACTCAAACACAAATCCAAAATTAAATGACCGGTGATTGTTGCGTTTTGAATTTTCTCTGGCATAGTGTGGACGGAAAAAAAAAATTGAGGTGTTTTCAGAACGAAATTAGACCTCCGTTTTCAAATGCCTCTGGCGTAGTGTAGACGCAGTCTTACTTATAATAAACTGGATGAGAATCGATTAAACAGGCACGAGGCACGAGAGCACGTGCACGAAGGTCACGTGTACGATTGGAGTTGTTTTACTTCTGATGGGACAGGAAAGTGGCGCAAGTGTTTCAAAGTCCTGGTCCAACTGCACATGACAACTGATGACGCGTTTGACCATCAACTACCATGCACTATCATCGACTATCATCAACTATCATTCACATTGAACTTGTTCAAATTATTCATGATAATTTCAGTAGGATATGCGGAGTTTTTGCACTTGTCTTGAATCGGGCATGTTTCTTAGAAGAAGCTTAAAACTGCAAAATCGATTTCTACTTTTAATTTTACCTGAAGAGTAAATTGATAACTGACTTTTTAAATAGCACGTCATGACGGTATGTCATTACGTTTTAATATTTGTTGTATGATGAATTGTATGTTGTATGATTACTGTGTAATGTTTATCGCATTCTTTCCCTTTTAAATGAATTGTGAACCACTTCTTTTAACTTAATTAGTTTAGTTCTCTTGTGTTGTCACTGAAAAGCCCCATCAGGGGAGTGTCAATAAACTATTGTTTTTTTGTTTGTTTGTTTGTTTGTTTTTTCATCATTATCGATAAGGCCATCAACAAAAGCCCTTCATAACTTATGTTCTGGGCAACTGTGGCAGCCGCAACGATTATAAATAGGGTATCGAATTTTTGATCTGGTCATAAAATGGATAGCGAAAATCGCAGATTTTGGTCATAAATAGGGGTAAGGGTTTTGGGAAGTGGGCCGCATACCCCCACCAAATTTTTCTGGGAATTCCCCCCCCCCTCCGGAGAAGATGTGCCCATGCGGGTATCGTCCCGGTAGGGGAGGGGGGGCTCCCATATATACTGAGGACGGAGGTGCTCGTCGTACCTTTCAGGGGTTAAAAGAAGATTTCGGTACCTCTTAGGGTGCTCAGCCTTAAAAGGTCCACAGCGCGAGCTTTGGCGGTACCTTTTAGGGTATTGAGCCAAACAAAAAAAGTCAGGACATAATATGTTGCTTTAGAATTGGTACCTCTGATTAGGGGTGAATAAAATTTCAAGCTACGACCACAAAACAGGATCTTGGTACCTCTTAGAAGTTCTTAGTTTCAAAATTTCCGACGAACATCCCCGTCCTTTTTATATGGGATTCCTCCCCCAGGAGGTTTCGTTCGTAATTTTCATACGCAAATTGTATACGTGCGCACAAATATAACTAAATTGCAAATCAAAAGATTGCATTCTTTCCAAACTATAAAATGCAGGTAGGTAAGCCACGACTTAACGAGCAACTATGATAATAATTCTGGTGAAACATGGGAAATGAACGATTGCCCTCGCCTTCATCGTCTCCAAGAGCTTTAACGACGTCTTTGTTTTGTCGGTAAGATAATATTCACTCCAATGTAATCACTTAAGTAAAGCCATTACTGCATAATCAAAGACAGCTGATAGCTGTTGTTCAATCCAGCTTGAAAAACATGTCTTGCAATATTTCTATGTGTCAAATTATCTTTAGATTCTTCTTAGCTTCTTGTGGTAATTTTTCCATTGTCCTTGTTTTAAGAATTTTTTCCCAACTTTGTCTTTTTTCTAAGGCTTTCTGAGATTAGTTACTGCAATTTAATACAACCATTTAGATTAATAATTTTAATTATTACTATTTTTATTTATTGTTAAAACAACGAAAACAAAGATGTATTTCTCGAAAACGCAGAAGAGAGATTTAATATTTTTGTTTATTATTTTTCTCTCAGACTCGCTATTTGTCACCTTCTTAAAAACAGTGCTATCAAGGCTAGTAGTGCTTTGAGAAGAAGAGCAAGAAGTCATATAGTTGACTCTTTGTTACGGTTTCGACGGCGAGTGTGGCACCGGCAACGCATCCCAGCACCTCGGGTTTTCAGATTACGTCGACATTCGTCGTGAAAGTCTACCATCTGAAACGGGCCAAAGCACTGGTATGAAGACGAAAATCTGTTGTCAAATATATACTAGCTGATCGTCGAAAAATGAGGTATTCAGGCCTTTTGCCAAGTATGTTAACAAACGATTTTATTCCAAAATTTGTAAAACGTCTCTGTTATGCCTGAATTGGACATTTTAAGAAACTGATCTTCACGGACAGTTTCTTGTGCCATGCTTGTTTGCTTCGCTTTCAGCTTTGTGGATTTCACTGCGAAAAAGCATACACCGATCGGAATACTTCACGACTCTGGCTTTTGAGCTCTTAAAAACCACTTTTTATTGTTTAGCTTTTTCTTAGATAGTGGTGAGTTATTTGCTTTCCTCTATATCCTAGGCATCCATGCCATGCCTGTTTAGCTTGGTAATAGTGATGAGGTGCAGACGCCAGCTGAAGAATGTAAGGAAAAGGCGAGGAAAACAGATTGTGTTCCTTGGCTTTTGTATTTTTTCACTTTGCATTCTTTTCTACCGAAACAAAGAAACTTTTGTTTTTCTTTTGAAAATTTATTGCAAACTGTAGTTGATCCTGGCGCGCTGGGTATAGTTAAGACTAAACCAAGAATTTTGTATTATTTCGTGTCCCTGTGTGTCTCCTCGATCGACGTTACATTATTTAAGAAAACAGAAAACATGAACCGTGTTTCTATCGAGTTTTAGTATAAATCTGCTAGCGCTCTATCACGATTGCCGTTCTCTGATTGGCTACGCTACTCACTATCTATTCTGTGATAGCTGGTAAGTAGCGTAGCAGTGTGCCCTTGTTAACAAACTGACGGCCGCTTCTTGGTGTTTTCGAAGTGTCTGTAAAGAGGTGATTTAGATAAAGTTTTGAACGACTAGTAGATTTATACTAAAACAATTAGATTATTCGATCTCGATTTCTATGCGTGATAGTTGACTATCACGCGTTATAGTTCACCACTAAATTTTATCCGATTCTTATTGGTTTAAATTGATCACATGACGCGATAGTGTTCATCCTCGGAGAGACAATATCAGCCCATAGTGCCCTTCCGAGGAAAATATCCGGATGAATAGCAGTCGTCCGTGAAAAAATTTCTGTAAACAACCGAGCTTATATAAAAAAAAAAAACATATAAAATAATAATAATAATAATAAACAAATGAAACTGTATTAAGTGGGTTTTGTTTATTTTCCTTTTTAAATTTTACATTTGGTTTTCACGACTTCCTTCTAAAAAAGTTGAAAATTAAATAATTCCATATGATTTTTGAACTGGCGCGCGGAAGAAAATTTAGTGGTGAACAATAAAGACAATAGAGTGTTTATGTCTCGGAACTATCGGTCTGATAGTTGCCCTTTGTAAATTTGGTGTTCTTTAAACTAGCATATTTGCCGCCTCTTGGCGTTTTCGGAGTACAAGTGTCTATGAAGAGTGTTTAAATAAAGTATTGAACGACTAGTAGGCTAGACTTCTATTCAAACAATTAGATTACTCGCTTTCGATTTCTATGCGTGATAGTTGACTCGGGCTGCGCCCTCGTCAACCATCACGCGATAGAAACCTCGAGCTCATAATCTAATTGTTTAATAGAAACACGATTTTTAACCAATCAGAGCGCGTATTTTCTCAGGGCTGTTTTCTAATGGCTAATATTGTTGTTCGGAGGTGGTGGGAGGGGGGGGGGGGGGATAGGGGTACTTAAAATTCGCTGATCCTTGTCATTCAAGACATTGACATACACCATATAGAGATCCGAATGAAAGACGATTAAGTTGATATATATATTATTTTTTCTCATCACAGTGAGCGTAATATTCAGCATGCATCGACTAGCAATCTCGAGTGATTTTTAGACCATAAAACAGTAAAATTGCGTCCGCTTTGCGATAAGCGCGCTCTAAAATCAATTACCTATGCGCAGTTGGCGCGAAATTGAATCATTAAGCAAACATTAAATATTGCTAATATTTTTTTAACATTAGTAAATATTTCCCCCATTGTCACGAAATAAATAAATAACAGCAACAACAACAGCAATAATAATAATAATAATAATAATAATAATAATAATAATTATAATAATAATAATTATTATGAAAAAAGGAGTGTAATAATAATAATAATAATAATAATAATAATAATAAACAAAAACAAAAACAAAAAAAATCCTTCAAAACACTGCTTTCTGAGGTTTGTCACCTGGAAAACTTGCTTATGGAGAGGATGAACTTAATTTCATGCAGTTCTCGAACCATCCCAGGATAGGAGACCATCCGTTAGTAATTTTTGACACTTACTGGGGGGTATTTATTCATTAACTATTGCGGTATTTGATCTGAAAAAGCTCATTTTTAAGTCAGTCCTTTAATGTGGTACCAAAGCAGTCCCACAGAGTTCTTTTAAAATATTTGAAAGGTTTGAAACCACCTTAATCGGGCTTTTAGGAGGGTCTGAATGAGGGAGTTCACAGATCGGTTGTCGGTTCAACTTTCATTACGTTGTCGGTTGTCGGTTAGAATTTTCCACCTTTGTCGGTTGTCGGTAAATCTCAGTTAAATTTTTTGTAGCTAGTCGCTAATTTTTTCCTCGTTTTGTCGGTAGTCAGTGATATTTTTCACCCTTTGTCGCTAGTCGGTTAACCTGATTCAGACCCTCTTTTACATCAACAACCAAGAAATGGCCTGGGAACTAGAATATTATTACCCATAGCTCAATGCAAATTGCACGCTCGATTTCAAGACCGCTGACCAAGTTTAGTGAAACGTTTTCAAACGTGACAAATTCGAAGCGCGTGGCTTTAGGTTTTCAGTGATTTTGCAGGTTTAGTTCAGCTAAAAGCATTCACTATGGCGGTAAGTACACTGTTTTTACGTTAGAGGGATCAGTAACTCATAACTTTGTCGTGTAACGCCAAAAACGTATTCATCTCCGTAAATCAATCAGTGTTTTTGGTCCGATCCAAACCAACAACTTCGGCTTCGATTCAGAGCGACTGTACGTTGCCAGTCGAGTCAAATATTGCGTTTTGCACGAGTTGAACTTCATTGCTTATGGTGTACAACCAAATTAAGTTTATCTCAGTTTAACTCTCCACCAGAAGCACTGCTTTCTGATATATAGTTGATAAAATATATCTGAGTATTAAAATCATACATATATATGTATAGTTTTTGGCACTTGTGTAGATCGATGTTTGAATCAAGTGAGCTTAAGCTTAACTTAGGCCCGGTTCAAACACCGATCTTAACATGTGCCCAACCTCATACCCATTTGGGTCGACTCAAAGAATTAAGTTTGGCGGTTGATCGTTAACCTGATAGCTTCCAACTTAATGGCTGATTTGATACAAAACGTTTCAAATAAATTATAATAATTATTTATACTATGTATCCGTATGGTATGTATTAGATTTGGCACATGTTCAACTGCCATACATGCAGTTGAATAGAATGGCAAGTTCATCTCAAATGCAAATGTGTCTTGAAACTGATTCAGATGTCGAACTTTACATGAACCTAATAACAGCATTAGTTTTGTAAAGTTCAGTGTCTGAAGTGGGCCTTGTCTGTTGTTTGATTGAATGGAACATTTTATTTTATTGTGTAGTTTCAGAAAATGTCCATACCTCCCCCAGGGAAGTGATTTTTTGGAACACCTCCCTACCCCTCTGGAAATTCTAGTTAAGCTTCATACATTTCTTTCAATTTTTTGGTCTTCCAGAAACCCCCACCCCCCCAGGAAATTCCAATCCCTTCTGTGGGGGGAGTATGGATATTGTCTGGAACTGCACATTTTATTCTCAGATTCTAGTCATACCTATAACTGAAATTAAATATCTCTTGCTATTTATACTCTAAAAGAAGTTTTTTTGTAGTCCTTGTTTGCTTTGACTGCACAAGAGTGACAAAATCAAGATATACAAAAAATAAAGCACTTTCATCAGAAATTTCTGTCTGCAGTACACAAATGATACTTTTCCAGTTTCACTTGTCCTCCAGGATTTCCAAAATCTGAAACACGCATTAAAATATAGGCAGCAATGCAGCACTCTAAAATGTGAAATAAAATATTATTTTATATAATATTGCATATTTCTCTTTAGACTATGCCCTTAAACCCTAAGCCCTTTCTCAATGGGCTGACTGGTAAACCAGTCATTGTCAGACTCAAATGGGGAATGGAATACAAAGGATATCTTGTGTCTGTGGATGGCTACATGAATCTTCAGGTAAGTTTCTAAATCAGGAAGAGTAGAAACAAATATTGAGTTACAGGAATTCATATAAAGTCATGTTTGTGGTGATTGTTTCGTACAGTTTAGTTTGCTCTATCCACGCATCTCTGCATATGCTCACGAGTATCAAGAATTGACATACATGTAGTTTACGTACACAAATTTATGAATGTACTGTAGGAAATATCATAAGCTTGAACTACAGAATAAACTTAAAATTATGTCTCATGTGATGATCTTCCACCACTTTGTAATTCTTTATTACACTCTTCAAATATGCTATGTGACATTCCATATGTTACATGTATGTAAACGCACTTGCATTCTTCACCATCTAGGGGTATGTTGTGAGCTTACCACCTGACCAGCTGCATGAACCAAATGCCCTTGCTGTTTTTTTGTTGTTGTTGAGTTCTTTCAGAGTTGTAGCTAAGAAAATAGTCTCTGGGCTAAGATTTTCATTGAGCCGGTCACGTCACCATTTATCACTAGAGACTTGGAACAAAATTTTCCTCCCAATCTTTTGCAATGTTTAGTGTATAGCCTTGTACTGAGGTGGTTATTAATGTCTGTACTTGTAGCTTGCCAATACAGAAGAGTTCATTGATGGTGCCCTGACTGGCAACTTAGGTGAAACACTCATTAGGTGAGTTTTTTGTTTTACATTGTACATTGTAGTTGCCTGACCAATTTTCTGAAATAAACAAGTACAATGTAGATGTATGACATTTTCAAGTTTAATTTTTTACCTAATTCTTAATTGAGAATTCTAATTGGAAATAAAAGGTAGATGTACTTTACATACACCCCACTTCTGCACACCGCTTCCCCTTGCCCACTTCTGTATTCTTTATGTTCACATTTATATGAAAAAAAATAAAAATGTTAACAACAGTAGCTACTCTGCTTTGCAAATCCAGATAACAGTCCATGGTAGCTTGCAATGGTATATATTTGCAAAGCTAGTATATAGGCAGTGGAGGTGCAGTGGCCTCATGGTTAATAGTGCTCTCGTCCCCTGATTGAGCGGTCTGGATTTGAACCCTGCTCGGGGACACTGTGTTGTGTTCTTGGGCAAGACACTTGACTCTCACAGTGCCTATCTCCACCCAGGAGTGTAAATGGGTACCAGCAAATTGTTGGGGAAACCTAACAAATTGCAGGGGAGTGACCTGTGATGGAATGGCATCCCGTCCAGGGGGAGTAGAAATACTCCTAGCCGCTTCATGCTATAGAAACCAAACCGTGATAAGCTCCGGCAGCTTTGAGCCAGTCGGCTCCAAGGCTTCACTTTTTTTTTAGTATATAGGTAGGCTTTGTAACCTAAACAGGAGATCTACATTACTAAGCTCAAAGAAAAGTAAACATAAATAAATAATTAATTTAATAACTGAATGAATCTTTCTGCTACCCAGACTGAAAACTGACAATGGTTTTGCATACATTCATGTACATGTTTGCACTTTTTTTATGTCCTGACATGTCCCTGACAGGTGACCAAAAGAATACGTTGAATGAAGTACTTATTCGTGTCAGGTGCTTGAGCCCAGGGTTACCCTTCACTGTACTTTCAGGTGGTTGACCCAAGTTAACATTTTCACAACCAAGCTGGTGTGGCAGAGAGAGTTGGGTTTCATTAATGTTTTCAACAGGAGGGCAACTAGTTTTCACAGTCAGGCAAAGCTTTTTGAGCTGAGTGAACTACTTTATAAGAAAAATTTTCCTCTTGATAGTCAGAGCAGGCAGGTAAAATCACACTCATAGCTGGTCAATTTGCCCGGTGCCTGGCCGTTAATGAAACCCCTGAGGAGTAATCCCTCCTCACAGACACATCTTCTCAACATAAACAAGCTGTAAGAACCTTGATCATAATGGATTAATTCTAGATTTTCATGCCTGTCATCAAAAATGTTTTTCAGGTGTAACAATGTTCTTTATGTACGTGGAATAGATGAAGAAGAAGAGGACGGAGAGATGAGAGAATAGTTTTAGGCTACAAACATTCTTTGTATCATAATTATTAACTGTAAAAAAAAAAGTTTTGACTTTACCACATGTATTAGTGTTTTATTTCCATATCTGCTCTAGAGTTTTCCTCTTGAATGGTAATACTGTACACTTGCTTGGAAGCTGCTAAGTTACATTGTACAATGTACAATGTGCAATGTAGTTTTTTTTTTTTGAGAAATTTGAAGTTCATGTAACTTCTTTTCGTGCCATTTTCTGTCACCCAAACAGGAGCTCTAGAAGGGAAAAAAATTACATGTAATTTGTAATTAGTGTTTTTTGTGTTTTCTGGTCAAATCTTTTATAATATGAAATTTGACCCGACCTTTGTATTTGCAATCACTGAAGTTGGCAAAACTGCCGTGTATGTGGATTTGCAAAGTTGTCGACAATTTTTAATTACATTTAAGAAAAAGGAAAAGTGAAAGCCGAGGGCATCTGGGCGGTAACGCACATGTAGGGATATTAAAAGTAGACAAGATCTATGTATAATTGTATTTGTTTGGATTTTTCTTCCCATCTGGAATGTAGGTGAAAGTACATGTAACATTATCTACAAGTGTTCTGTTCCATGCTGCCCTGCTTGGGATTACATGTAGGGGCTTGCTCCTGACCTTGTGGAGGCACTGTGTCCTCAGGGTTAGTGCTCTTGTCTCCGGATCGTGCGGTCCGGGTTCGAGCCCTGACCAGGGACATTGTGTTGTGTTCTTGGGCAAGACACGTAACTCTCTCAGTGCCTCTCTCCACCCAGGTGTATACATGTAAATGGGTACTAGTGATTTTAATGCTGGGGGGTAACCTGGGGATGGATTAGTATCCCATCCAGGGAGGAGTAGAAATACCTTTAGTCGCTTCATGCTACGGAAACCGGGATAAACTCCAGCCTGATGGGCTTCTTGGGTTGTATGCAGACTTCACCCTTTTTTCCCTCACCTTTCACACGAGTGGGACATTTTCTTTGTTTTTAAGATGAGACACTAAGCCTTTAAGCCCCATAGGAATACTACAAGTTTTCTAAAATGGTATCTGTGGACCCAAAGCCCACAGTCAAGCAATATACATGTACCAATAATTAAATATAACTTGTCAGCAATATTATAAATCACCACAACAGATGTACAAGGAGTCACAGATTGGATTGAAGAGAGTCCAAAATGAAAAGAAAGAACAACAAAAAAATTCCTTGTATAAATTGGGTATACCCCTAATCCAGGGGTTTCATTCAATGACGTTTTCAGCAGGAGGGTAACTGGTTTTCACAGGCAGGCAAAACTATTTGAACTGAACTTCTTTATAAGATTAACATTTCACTGATGGTCAAGCAGCGGGGCAAAATTGTCCTGACAGCCCATCAGTTTGCCTGGCACCCAGCCGTCAATGAAACACCTCACCAATAATGTTATATTATTGAAAGGTATTGCTTCACGACAACAGACATACAGGAAGTAACAGATTGCATTGAAGAGTGTTTAAATTGAAAAAAGAGAAAACATTCAAAAAAAAAAAGTTTATTCTTTGTATAAACTGGATATACCCCTAAACAGTAGCCTAATTTGCAGCTGTTGGTTATGATTTTTTTTTTAATGGATTTTTATCAGATATTCACTTGACCATAAAAGTGTAACCGATAAAGTTGCAAAACTCGATAGTACATGGTTAAATTGGTCAAATCAAGTCTGATAGAGGATGGGGTATCTATTCTCTCGAAGATCTTTAAATTTTGTTTTCCCAATATCACACAAACTGACCGAATGTTATTAAGGCTTATAAGTATAGCAGTTTGTGTCATAAGACACTATTGAGGGTTAGAAGACTGATCGCATGAGGTCAGCACTGAATAAAAACTAAACACCACTTCCACTGAAATTTGCCTACACAGTAAGTAAAGAGTAATGATTCATTTTAGAGTCAAGGGACACTAATTTACCGTTGGCAGCTCAAGGGAAGAGGGGTGCTCATTGGGGACCAAGTGCTGATCTCTTTTGGAACATACCCATCTGAAATCTGAGACAACCGTCTAATGAAAAACAACAGATACCAACTGTAATGATTACAGGTAGTACATAAGGGGCTCTCACAGTCAACGCCATTTAGCTCCATTACCTACTATTCGAAGAGGGAGGTGAATAGGGGTATGGAAATCCGCCGATCCGTGCCTTTTTTTCTTCAAATCCGTTGATCCGCCAATATTTTTGTTCAAATCCGAAACCACAACCACATCCGGAAACAGAAGTGTAAAAGTTCAAAGGCAAACTGGCAAATGCGAGTGCCATTGTTAATTTCGCACAAATAGTAGAGGGCAACATGCTAGACGACTATCACACAAGTACAATTCCAATAACAATCTCACACCTGAGTTTAAATGAGCTTTGTTCGAAAAAAGAAATAATTTGGATGAACTTACTAACACACCAAGGCTGAAGAAAGATCTATGATAAAAATTTCATTTTGGACCCAAGATCCGAATATCAAGGCAGGCACAGTGGAATCCGCGTCAAAATTCACAGCTGATCCACGAGCCACTGTTTTTTCAAAATCCGCGAATCCGCTCGATTTACCGCAAAAATTCACAATCCGTGTGCATTTTAAGGCCAAATCCGTCGATCCGAAAACGTATTCACCCCCCCTCTTCGAAATCTATGTTCAATATTACGTTTCGATAAGAAAACAGACTACATACAGAAATTCATTTGTGTTAGCAGTCTGGTCAAATTAATATTATGTCGGCACTTACTAGAATCGGATTTTTCTTTAAGTAGGGACCCATATTAAGAAGAGAGGCACTCGAGATGGAGTATTTACTAGAAAGGGGGCACGTGTTGGATGGAGGGTGCTAAATGGAATCAGTACGGGATTGTCTGTTGCATGGGCTATAAAATGTATTTTGCGGCTCAGTGACATATTAATTGCCAAATCACGGGGACGAGAATGATACGTGACGAAATCCGGAAGGCGGCACAAGATCTTTCACGCAAGATAGCGACTGAAGGCCTTGTGCATCCCATGGCGTCACGAGGACAGATGATGACGATGTTTGTTTCTTATCGCATCCCCTATGCAGTAACTTCACCTGTCATATACTAAACATTCTTGGATGTTTAGTTTCAAGAATATTTACATCATTGGTCATATCATGCTACCAATGGATCTCAAATTGTATTTATACTACAATAAATATTACACAAACACATCTCTGCATTTTACAATCTTTACAATAGTCTTCATCCGAGAACCAAACCTTCACGAAAGTTATTTACAATGAATGTACCTTCGCCAGCGATTGATTGTTTTGAATGGTTTTGTCAGATGAGGAGCGTTGAAACCAAAGTGTACTAAAATAGGACTTTTGTTAAAAAGAAAGAAAAAAAAAAAGTCTGTTGCCAAAGAAATCTAGGATATTTTAGGTAAAAAAGTATTTGAGTTCCTCTTCTTCTTTGTCTTGTTTTTTGTCGGCATCTTGCTGCTTTCTTCGTGTCTGTGGCGGCTCCGAACGGAACATCAGCGGTTTGCCAGTCTGAAGCAAAAATAAGAACAAGGGCATGTTAAATGACAAGATGATAGATGCTAAGTTAGGGAAAAACATGAATGATGTACGTCAGTAGCACAAGTTACTCGGAAGATCCATGCACATACTATTAATAGCAAACCATGGTACCATATGACATACCATGTGCTATCCATTTCTTTCTACCCACCCTCTCCACCTATTCACACCCTTCTGTAATTACGACACGCACGAGTCTGACCGTAAGGTATTTGCTTATTCTTGCCGAATTCATAGAAATTCAATCCTAATGAAATTAAGAGATAGTTCGAGAAAGTCACGTCATCTTAGACTAATTTAATCTCAAAGTCCCACGCAAACTATAAATGCAACAACAACGTAGTTAAATGAACCAAGACTTGACAATTTTTAAATTATTGCAGTAAAACTGCAGTAACAGTAGAACGCAATATGTTTCAGAACTTTGCGATGCTTAGCCCACCTTTTTCTTGGGTTCAGCCTGAGCTCGTTCCAGTGCCCTTCTCACCCGGTCCTCTTGGTGAATTCGTTGTTGTTCCATTTTCTCCTCGCGAAGACGCATGCGTCGTTCTTTCTCTTTTGCCTGTAAAAGAGAGAGCACTAATGAGGCAAAGAAGCACTGTATAAAGCATACAGTAGTACTACATATAAACTGTATTAACAAAGTTTGACTCTGATGTTGAAATTAGTCCGTCAAAGTTTGAAAGTTTTTGAACCATTTTAAATACCACGCCGCCACTTCCGACGTCCAACATCCACCGTCCTTGAACAGTAGTAACTGAAGTATTAAGTCTATGCTACCGTCAAACATTTTGAAATTTCCAGCAATCTGAAGATATATTTGGATTTAGCACTTGACTTGGGTGACTCTCTTAAATCCATTTAATAGGCCATGTCCGAGTTGTCTTTTGCCTCGGGTGTCAAAACGAGTCTTCGAGTGAAACGATTCATATGGAAATGTGTTCCACGTACATGTTCATTTTCAAACAAATCAAACTCATTTTCATAAGAAGGTTTTACATGAGGACTCGTTTTAAAACAGAGGCACAAGGTAACTCAGAAATGGCCGATTCTATTTTAGTTAGTAAGCGGTCGCCGATGGTCACCTCTCCATTTTAGCAAGTTAAACTAGATATCACCAGTCAGTGAGCTGCAAATACTCGTTCTGCCTTACCTTCTCAGCCATCTCCACTCGGTCAGGAGGCATAACTTCTATTTGCTCAAACAATTCTTCCAGTCGATTTTCAATATTTGTTAACATCTGAAGCGTACTGGAAAGACAAGTCCAAGACAATTATTAAAACCAGAGAACTCAAATTTTCCCAAGTTTTCAAATGAGTGCCACGACACCAAACACGAACAACGATATTAACCAATCACAGCTCATAAAAAAACACGCAACTTCCGCCACACGCGCTGGCATTTTACCTGATATTAGCTTCGTTATCTCCTATGCAATTTCGATAGACTTCTTCTACTTTCTTGTTCAACATTTGTAGCATTTTCTCCTGCAATGAAACAAAATTAACGATAAAACGACTTATTACATAACTGAGAAAATTACTTCACTGTGATTGGCTAAGGGCAGGCCAATCTTTTAAGACTTTAATTAAGACATTTTTATTTAAGGAATCATTTCAGTT